TTCTCAAGCTAAGAGTTTACACAACTATATTGCTCATAGAAAGTCCAACAATGGACTATGTACAGTATAATGATTTCCCAATAGTCCTGGGAGGAGGAGGGGGTGGGGGAGAGAGAGAGAGAGAGAGACCATGTTATTCTGAATTCTTCACCCAGAATGTCTCAAAAATAGGTAGGAATTTATAACTGTCAACCAAAAGATACTGGCAGGAGAAGGTAAAATCTTCTGGGTAGGGGTGGATGCTTAATCCAGAACTAATCACTTCCTTTGGAGAAATAGTCTTGAGTTAGATCTGTACACTTCTACATATCAAGAAGCTTTTAGGATGCATCAATTCCTGTCAATAATTTCAGCAGGCAAGTTCAGATCAAAAAATGCACCTCGGTAACTATCCTTTCTAGCACGCTTCCGAGAAGAGCAGCCACTGTCATCTGGACTCCCAAACTCAGAAGGTCGACCATGTTCAGAAGTCCCTCCTGCATCTTATTGTGTCAAGTGAGTTCTAGAAACACATATCCAACGTCTAATAATTAACATGGCCAAGGTTATAGCCACCATTGGTTTTGTTAAGGGCACCAATTTCATTTATAATCGTATCAGTTTATAGTTTTTTTCTTAAATAGTTGGTTATGGTATTTGGAAATGTTTGTTTATAAACTAATTTCAATCTATTAAATAACAAATAATAATTGTTTTATCAATTATTAGTTGTTTTTAACAGTTAAATTATGATAAAAATTTGACAATTTTGGTGGCCTTAACAAAATTAATGGTAGCCATAACCATGCCCAATTATCATAGATAGATACAAAGTGAACTTTTGTAGCAAAGGCGTACAAATATGGAACAATGTATGAGTGTATATCATTACTGCTCAAAAACAAGAATCAAAAAACCATTGATATTTCAATGCTAAAATAAATCAGAAACCAAATACCAGTTCAGCTGGTCATATTATTTGGGCATAATGTGTGAAATATCCAGTACTCCTTGTTCTTCCACTAATAAAAATCCAAAAAAAAAAAAAAAAAGGTTCTTGTTCTAACTTACCACTTGTGCCACAATCTGGTGGAAGCAATTTATCAACTGTGCTGCTGACTTTACTATTCCAACATGCAGAAAGTTCTGACGCTTTCTCAATACCCTTGGAGTTGTAAGGAGCTATGCTGTGGTTACCAACTTGAATAGAACAAAGCAAATCATTCTCTATGCAGTCATACCTGCAGGTTATAACTTCCATTGCATGAGTTTCAGAATGATCATAAATACAAAATAGTTTCCAGTAACAGCTTTACTTACATTTTCTTACAGAGTTCATCAATGATCACAGACAGGTTAATTACTTGCATACGTATCTCCATAACTTTATCATCAGCAAATTGATCAAAAGGCTCTTCTAAAAACTTGGAGAGTTTCTCAACATTTGACTCAAGCTGCTGCTGCTGGTCCTCAAACAGGTGCTGTTTTATCTCCCTCCCTTCAATTGTCATCTCATCCCTGAATATTTCGTCTCCAAACATGTAAAAGGCAAATGGGTATGAATATGAAAGAACCCGCCTTGATCTGAAAAGTCTGTAGAGGCCATTGGTTACCCAGGTGAAATCTCTAAGCCTTGATTCCCTCTCTTCTGAAATTGACACTTTCTCTAGGACAGTCTCCTTAAGCTTGCTTTCAAGCTTAAAGGAATCAGTATGAGCTTTATAGCGGTTATGATAGTGCATATAGCGATAAAGATCCCGCTTTGCTCGCTCAGTTTTTTTCTCACGGTCTTCTTTGTAACGACCACAGCTGTGACCGGCAATTCTTGACCAAGTATGGTCTCGCCCAGTAGCCCCACCACAGAGCCAACTGCATCAAGAGCAAAATTGAAGTACAAGAATTTAGTCCCGCTATTGACAGATATATTAACACTAAAATAGATGTCATAAACAAGAAATCCTGCAAGTACAAAATTGTCTCCAGTAATTTACATTCAGCAATTTTATAACGTATAAAATGTGGACCAAACTGAAGCATCATCATACTGACGCAAGGCAGCAAGGGACAAAAAAAAAAAAAGAATGAAATGACAGATAATATCACTCTTTTTCTCATTCAGGATTAGGATGGTTGTGAGAGTTTAAACATTATATTTATGACAGAACCAAAAAAGTATTAGTTGGGAAGCCATGGCAATATATCACAATCCAAAAATAAGAACAGAAAAATGATATCATCATACACATGGATGAAAGCAAAAGAATGTTCACCAGAATGCTTGTCCACAAATGCAGCTCACAAGGTTGCATCCTCCATTTTTCTCCACAGGTTTGTGACACTTTGGACAAGGCTTTGTATGTACTGTGATCCAATTAACTGTTTCAGATTCATCACGGCACTTCTTGGTCCAATGTTCCCACATCAAACATGAACAAGGCGAGTGTGCTTCTGATAAGCAACTGAAACAAAACTGCAAACCACAAGAACATTCTATCTCACAAAATTCATCATCCTCAACACGTATAGCATTTCCACAATGGGGTGTGCTAGGGCACCATTTAACCATCTTATTATCCTCGATATATGACTCAATAAGAATACGATCAAATTTCTCTGCCAGATCAGGACATCTTTTACTTACAAGATTTCTAACAACAGCTTCATCACAAATAGCATGACATTCATGTGCCATGCACTTAATGCGCTTACTTTGACCCTCATTAATTTTAACAATAAAATGCTCTGTCCAGCCTGGGAAGGGGAAAATGTACAATGTCAAAAACTTAAGTGAGAAAATTAATATAACCTCAGTATGTAGTGTGCCTGTGCTCAAAAAGAAAAGAATTAAAAAAAAAAAAAAAAAAAAGAAGAAGGAAAAAAAACCTCAAGATGTCATAAAGAAGATCTATAAAATCCCAAAAATTGATAAATATAATGTTCTGATACTTCAATCAGAACTTCAATCAGATAATTAGGGGGCTTACAGGTATTGCAATAACAATGTCCACAGTCCATTCTTGTTGCCTTATCGCCCGAAACCTCCTCTATGCAAATTTCGCATGTAATTGTACATGAAGAAGACAGCAGTGAATTAATGTCTTGATACTCAACCATAGAAACACCTGCTTCAGAAAACAAGCTTGCCTTGCCCCTCTCAACAAGCACTGCAAACAGCCTCACAACATCCCAACGATAATGTATAAGCAACGTCCGTGCATGGTACTCTTTTAGAGAGAGCAACTCCATGACTCTACGCAAATCCTCTTTCTGCAAGAATGCACCCCAAACATCTCAATCCTATAGATACAAAACAGTAAATGCACGAAAAAGAAAAGAAATTACAAATTTTACCTGTGCAGCCAAAAGAGATTCCTTTGTAATAACCTACAGAATATCAAAAAAAAGTGGTCAGCAAGTGTCAGAAACAGAGAAGAATAAGAATGAATAGAATCTCTTATTCCTTCCACATTTAAAGGTACACTCATTCCCTCCTTGATGAGGGCTGTCCCCTGAGAATAGAGCTTTAAAAATCAATAATTAATTAAGTAATATACATGCAAGCGAGCACCAAGATATGTGGGAAATAACATGTAGAAAGTCCAAATTTATCTAGGAAACAAAAGACCATGGAACTACATAACAATTCATAAAATCCAAAACCAAACAGCTGCTCAGCTTGTAATAGTTGATAGATTCCCTAATGCTGACAAGGGGCATAAAAAACTCCGCCCACCCCAGCATCAGAACCAGAGCACAAACGAAATTAAGCCGAAAGCCACTTCGAATCAGACATTCTCTACATGCTAGAACCCAAAAGCAACCGTCTTTGGCAATCGTACAAGCAACCCAGAAAAAGGGAAAACAAAATTTGAAAAATCCCATACCTTACAGTGGCAGATGAATCAGGAGTCGTCAAATTCTCTACAATCCAAACATGAATTCACATTCCAAAGCAGAAGAACAGGGAAAAATCAAGAGAAAAGGAAGGTACCTTGGTGGTGGGGCTCTTCGAGGAGACACACTGGATATCATTTTCCTCATTCTCAAGGCCTTCAAGGGAGTCTCGATCGGAAGAGTAGTAGTCCTCGTCGCCGCTGAAACAGTCCTCCATGATCGATCGCCGAATCAACCAAATTCGATACCAATCAACCAAATGAATTCTGTAAAACACAAATCGTAGAGATAATATAGCTGATTGTATATGTGTGTACGGAATCGATCTGGGGAGGGGGATATATAATTCCGGCGAACTGGATGTTGCCGGCGAGGCGAGAAGAAGAGAAGAGAGGCTCTTGTGTTACAAAGTACAACCAGTTGTTTTGATTTTCTCTCTCTTCGAAGTTGTGCTAGAGAATGAGTTTTGAAGATCTTCTGGTGATGGAATGGAACAAATGAAGTTTATGTGAAACGTTGTCGTTCTATTCAGCTTGTTCGATCATTTCTTTATGTGATTTAGAACAGTTTGTTATGGTGGTTTAAATGTAATAGTTAGTAATAATTTTGTTTAATATAATTGCTAATAATTAATAATAATAATGTTATAATTATTATATTACATAAAATTATAAATATCGTATTAAATAAATATATATTAAACGTTGTCGTTCTATTCAGCTTGTTCGATCAT